TTGCCTATGTCCATTAGCACTAGCATGGATGAAAGGTGCAGCGAGGGACTTGAGAGAAGGAGCATTAGCTGTTGCTTTTCAGTTCTTTTATAGAGCTGCTGCTTCACCATCGTTTTTATAAGGGTGTCTGAAGTAACCCTGAGCGATTCAGAATTTTGAGCAAAGCTTTATTGTGGAAAGTTCTCTCCAAACTCATCAAAATCAAAAGTGGTGTTTCCACAGAAAAATCACTAGTCTGGAGCAGAGCTCAAACTAGCTTGCAGACAGTATAGTGTTTAATAGTAGGTAATACATATTTATAGTTGTGTAAAGACCATCAATTTTTTAGGAATAGTTGAAAGGGAACTTGGGCAATAAGGAATTGTCTTGATATAGTCAATCCACCGCCACTTTTTGAAGCAGTGAGGTGCTACTCAAGTGCTTAAGTATTCATAATTGATCATTAATACTAAGTTGTGGCAGCATATTTCAATAGTAGATATCAGAAGAAGAATAGCTTATTCTGAACAGTCGTTGTTGTGTGTCAGTCTTGTGCCCAACAGAGGATTTGGATGGCATCTTTTTTGTTGTCAATTCTTCAGTATTTTACTAGCAGTCTGTCAAGTAACTGCGTCAAAGCTGAATGTGTATTTGAATTGTATTGACAGTACTGCCCTCCGTGGAGGTCTTCCCTTGCCTACCTCCTTTCACTATATGGCTGCTTCAGCACTGCTACTGCAGTAATTTTCCTGTGCGTTATACATAGTAAAATACTAGGCAGGTGAATATCTGAGGTAGAACTGTTGCCAGGATGAGATAAGATTTGAACTTGAAACTTCTGGGACCACAAGTGTCTTTCATTATGCAGTTGTTATGGATATATTGCTAATAGCTATTACTCAAAAATAAGAGGCCATCTGTGAAAGAATATAGTTGTGATGGTGACAGCTACAGATTAACAAGCCTCAGTAATGAAAAAATAGTTCAGAAAAATCCATAAATGACAGAACCTACAGAATGAATATTTTATGATAATAGAACATGCTGATACTTTGAAATTATTTGAGGGAGTCAACAAAAGAATAAATGAAAAACAATGGCTTAGTCAAATAGTTTTTCTTACAAGAATCATTAAGAAAATCATCTTTGAATATATTGTGTTATGGTTTGAAAACTCAAGGTGGGGAGGATTATGTTTTTTATAATAGAGAATGTGATTTTTTTTAAAAAAGGAATATTCCAAAGTCAGCCCATGCAGCTTTATTTGAAGGGCCAGGCAGTGGTGCTCGCTGGTGGTGTCCAGGTATTTTAAATCTTCCAAATTAGAAGTTGGTCTCATGTTCCCTGGGCACATACACTCCTACTTCTCCCTTCTGCATCTGCCTCTTCTTGTCTGTATTGTTAGTAGTCTCTGATGCTCATGCACTGAACTAACCTAACTCTAAAGCAGTTATCCACTGCTTTATCCACTTTGATTTTTGTTGTTGCTAATTTAAGTTTGAATCAGCACTCAAAAAGTCTGACAAGCTAAAGCAGTATGGGAAAGGCTGAGAGGTCAACTTTTTTTTTTTTTTTTTTTTTGTAATAAGTTGTTAAATGCCTAACTTCATTTCATGAAACTCTGTTCTGAAGTACTGTGGAAAGCTGTACATGTCTGATTAATTACAAATAAGTGTGAGTAAACACACACTGAAAAATTTAAATGATACTTACACCTGGAAATCTGAAAGTGTTATGGATTAATACTAGTACAGCAGGAAAGCTGCAGTCATCCCTTCTATCTCTATTGGAGATGTTATAATTTGCTTGTAGTTTCGGTAGATTATGATAGATGTTTCATCTGAAAATATGTTTAAAAAAACAAGCAAGCAAGTGCTGGGCTTTGGAGTCATGATGATCCTCCAAGATGTAAAACAGCCAAAAGAAGTGAACAGTTGGAACTGAACTGTATTATTTAATAAATTTATATCTTTGTAGTTTTGATCTTTGTGGAAGAAACAATTGAAATGTGCTTTGTCCTTTTTTTTTTTTTTTCTCTTCCCCAGAGAGAATAATGTACAGAAGGTGTTACTAGAATTACTAGAATTAGGGTGTTATATAACTTGGTAGGTAAGAAACAAAATCCCAAAATTGAACTCCGTGATTAATCATGACTTATGAACCTCTGGTTATTTTGTAATTGGTATTTAGCTAGTTCATAAATCTGGGTCCTTGAACATCTTGGGTCAATAACATTATAACTACTTACCCAGAGGCTGCATGGCAAACAACCTTTATTTTTCCTATGGTTAAACAGGGTTTCAGGAGCTCTGCCTGAATCTGACTGTTGAGCTACACTGTGAACCAAGAGGGAAGTTTGTTTTGTCAGTTCTGTAGTCTGCACTGTATTTATTAATGTATCTGTCCTGGGGGTGTTGCATCTGCTAACTCCTGCTCTTACAGAATGTAGGACTGAGTTTATCCAGGTTACAGTGTCTTTAAAGTATATAGTTTGAAATATTTGAGCTCATGAGTCTGGAGTCTTTAGATATTCAAGTCTGAGTGAGTGAAGTGTGGTTGAAATGATTTTCTGTGGCTAATTAAAGAGAGAGCTTTTAAGGAAGGTGAAACCTGCTGGGGTGTGTCCATGAGGGGCCAGCTGTGCATTGCTGCTTTTTCTGATAAAGGAAGGAGATTTTAGCTTCCACCGCTTCTGCCTGGAGGAAGAAACATAAAATTAAGGACAGCAGACTTCCTGTGGAAAGGGAAAAAGGCCTTTGGGTGGGATACCCCTCCTGTGCCCTTAGGTAACACCTAACAGTTGACAGTTGCTAATGCTCCACTTTGTGGGACGTAAAGCGCTTTGTTTCCAGGTCCTTGCAGAGCAGTTCACACTCTCCCTTTTGCTTTTCCCTCCTGCCCCATCTTTCCCTTCACTTCTCCTTTCTCAAAAGAGAGCACATCTTCTTGTGTGGAAATTAGTATTAAAAGTGATTTCAGTACATTACAGAATATGATTTGAAGCCCTCCTGGCTGTTCCTTTGATCATAATTCTTCCATTATCTGCCTTTCAGACAAAAATAACATTAGAAACTAGATAATAACTAGACAACCCACAGCGGAAATTGTAAAACAAATTCTGTAAAATATCATTTAAATGTTTCTTACTCTTTACCAATTCTTCTGTGAAGTTTCACCTTCAAGTATGCTGAAATCATTGCCTCTTGATTCCAAAACTGTAAATAAATTCAAATCATTCCAAAGAACGTTTTATGTAATAAAAATGCTGAATGCTGTGGAAACTAAGATAGTGCCTTGGCTTCCATTTTATGATTTCTTTCTTTGGACTTCAAGAACTTGGGGTTCTAGTTTCTTTAAACATGAACACTGATGGTATAGGGAGCTGGACATCTAAGACTGAAGAGCTTTTGAATCAAGTGTCTCTGTATGTGCTAGCAACAGATTTGATGGGTAACAACATGGTCTCAGAGTAAATGCTTCTGTTCTGACCTGCTTGTTTTCTGGCAATGTGGGCTGGTACTTTGGGGATTACTGCTTATAAGGAATTATCCAAAAGGCTGCAGTACACTTGCACCGTTTGAGAAGCTGCTGTTTCAGACCACTTCCATGAAATGCATTTCTCATATTGCTTCTATTGTGCTTAAAATAGGACACTGCTACTTGATGGTAGCTGAATCTTGTGTACAAATGCGACAGCTTGTTCCACTGCTTAGTAAGAGTGGTAGTGCGGTCACTGTTGAACAACTTATTTTCTTTCTGGGACTTGAATTATCATTTAATGCTTACGGGGAGATGAGCATGGATCCTTTTCAAAATTAAAAGCAACTGCTGAGTTTTTAGTATGGCTGTTCAAATCTATACCTTCTAAGTGTCTTCCTCATGTTTGTAAGCTATTTAAATATTTTATTGACTCAAAGGGACTTTTTAGACTATTTTGGAGGACCTTTTTTCTTCCTTGCTTTCTTGTTTTGTTAGCTTTCTGAACAAACAGCCGTAAGATTTACTGTTCTATTGGATTTCATATGAATACACAAAAAATCCACAAATGTGTAGTAAATTACTTCAGTGCAAATCCCTACAAGTAACTCTTCATCATACCTGCAATTTCTCTGTATCTTCTTATGTAGACTTTATAAAGCAAGTGCAATGTTAAGGGAAAAGTAAGTCCTCTAGAACTACAATTGATTAAGTGGTGAAACTATTGAACTTCTGCTTTATTTTTGATTTTGTGTCAGATTCAGTATTTTTTTCATTTGACTGCTGAGTTATTTAAACAAGTATAATTTGAGTCTGCTTTGTAATCCCGTAAGAATTGAATTCTTCTAGTGTGGAAGACTTCTATTGTAAAGGTTCTGGATTAAGAAATGATTTTCTTTCTATTTGCACCATTTTAGTCACTGTGACAGTATTTCATACTGTGGAGAGAAGAGGAAAAAAAAAAAAAAAAAAAAACTTGACCTCTTTGGAAAGGAGACCTTTTTTTCCCCCCAACTTTGGTATTTTGTTCATTTTAATGTGGAAAAATGTGTACACTTTCTAGGAATGTAATCTAAATCATATTTTAATTTTTAAGCCCAGAGATGTCAGTAGTAGGACCAAACCTTAATTTCTAAATGATTAACAAATTGACTAAGACTAACTTATAGCAATAATATCCAAGCAAAATACTGTACAGTGGAGCTGGTGTGCAAAGATAAGACCCTGGACCCCATCTAAAGCAGAACTCACGTCTCTATTTTTAATCCATTTTTTTGCATTGATTGATTATTGTTGAGATAGATGACATGAAACAATAATGGATTCACATATCTCAATTATGACTGAAGAATTTTGAAAGCAAGTTTAAGTACTTGATTTACTGTTACGATAATGTCTAGTGCTATTTTAATGGAAATTTTGTTAATATTTTGAAATATTATTATAACCTGTCTTCAGTTTCATAACACTTGACATGTTACTTAAAATGAGCTTTGTTAAAGCTTAACCTGAACTTGGATTATATTCTCTTTTATAACTTTTAGAAATATAAAGAGAAAGATAAACACAAGCAAAAATATAAGAAGCAGTCCGAGTCCTCACCATCCTTGGTTCCATCTCTTACTGTAACTACAGAGAAAGTAAGTTTGTTTATTTTTTTATCCCCCTCATCATCTTCATTTACTTAATGTTGCAGTATCGTACTTATTACAATGTATGTGCCACAGCTTTAAAAATGGAGTAGACTTTATATGCTATCAAGCGTATTTAATATATTTTTCTAATGTGCAAAATCCAAAAAAACTTTTGAGGTTATAGGATGAAAAAAAAACTTTTTTTTTTTTTTTAATAATTGATTACTTATTGTATGTAGGGTTTTTTCTTTTTTTTTTTTTTTTTGTCTGGACCATTTCCTTCACCTTCTGGCACTTCTGTGGGTGATCATGTGCTGTCATCTTTCCCTTCTGTGTGCAAACCTAACATGCTATACGTGTGCATCAGGGCTAAAGGCTTCTCAAGCCTTGGGATGTACTGTGGATACTGAGAGTGATTATTATGCAAATCTATTTGCGTTTCCAGAAGTCTTAGGACTCGCAGCACAGGGGTGGTGCAGCTCTTCCATATGCAGGGATATACGCAGGGCAGAAAAATTATAGTTTGAGTGCGAGTAGCTCCTAGTGCAATGAGAAAATGAACTTTTTTTTTTTTTTTTTTGGTGGGGAAAAAAAATACCACACCTTGCAAGATGAATTAATTGTTCTAGCAAGACTTACGGGAAGCGTAAGGGAACCCTGATGTAGTACACAGAGTTAACCTGGTAATTACAGTAGTAAATATTGACTGACTTTGAGAACAGGATTAACATTCATGAACTGGCTAGTAAAGTCCTTACAGCTAGACCAAGGGCATCAGGAGACTTTCCTTTCTGGGAGGCTTTTTGTACAGAAATGAAGGAAGAATCTGCAGTGTGAACAGAGTGAAGGGGGAGCCTCAAACTGCACATTATATTATATTCAAAAAGCCTGTGTTGGGTATAAGCTCTAGGGGACTGCAAAGGTTGAAGCCATTTAAGTAACTAGATATTCTGCTTACATCCTCAAAGCCTTACCCTCTGCTACTCTTGCTCTCTTATTAGAGCTTTTTGTTATAGAACATAGCATTATAAAAAGGCAATTTATTTAGGAGTAAGTAAGGTAGGTATTTTGTCATTAAGCCATTAGCTTAATAATCTAAAACTTGTGCTGCACATGTATCTCAGATCCTATTGCACACTGTGTATGAACCATTGATGTATGTATAACTGTTTTAGGGCATTGCATTGCTAAGCACTCCTTGAAGTGAGGAATGTATCTGAAAAAAGAATGAGTGACAAAAATGACAAAAATTTACTTTGCTTAGTACTTGTATCGTAATAGCATTGAAGACCTTCTGAGACAGCGTGCGGATCTCAACACGCTTTATAGCACCTTCTGAAACAGAAAAACCTGTTACAGCAAACTTTCAAAACTGCAGTGAGCATGTGCATGGCTGTTCTTTAAAATCTATTGAAAGGAGGATTCAGGCAGGCTAAATGTTTCTGTGATAATAACAGCTAAATCATATTGTCCTGACCTTTCTAGTGACTCTAAGTGTAACCTCATATCTCTGCTCCGAACCAAACCTCTGCACAGTATGTGCCCATTAAGGTCTATTTGTCATCACTTAGCCCTGACCCAATCCATTGAAATAAGTTAAATTCCTAATGATTTTCTAAAAACTCCTTTCCTTGCAGTAATGGATAAGAGAGATTAGATAACATCAAACTAAGGTTGTTGCTGCTCTATAGAGCTATCTTTGCAATTAACATTCAACTGAGTGGGTAGGAGTTGAGGAAGGTGTTGGATGAGAGGAGCAATCGCAGATCCTGGAAGAAGGTGGTTTTATTCCAAATTATTGTGTATCTGAATACCCTTGCTTCAGATGACCCACATTTGAATCACTCCTCCTTAGCTCAGCTCAAGTGGCACATCAGTTTCATCTGAAAATAAAGCGAGCATGGCTTCCCCTTAGGTCAAAAAGATAACTGTTAAACTCTGAATTGGCTTCATGTTAATTAGAAACTGTTACCAGTGTGGTAATTGAGGCATATTATTTTTAACTTGATAATTCAACAGATGTAAGAGAATTTCGCTCCTTCACTGTTATTGAGAATAATCCACACTGTTTTTCCTGCAGTTTTAATGGAGCTATACTTGAAGTTTTGAATGGCTTTATTTTGTCTTCCTTTTTAGGTAGGCAAAATAAAATAAGTTATTTCCTAGCTTGAAAAAAAAAAGGGGGGGGGGCGGATTTATATAGGCTATGTGGAGTCCTTCCATAATGGTGGATACTTTACAGGTGCTTTGTACATGTTCAAAATGACGTAGTGTATTTTTTTTTTTCTGCAAACACCATTATACTGAGAGGTTGTTTTTTGACTAGGTGCTATGGTTTGGCTTACTTGCTCTAAGAAGAAAAGAGTAGTAATAATAGAACAGTGTGGAAATGTGAAATGTATTTCTTATTTTTTAGCTTAATGTTAACATGGAGACATTGTTACTTCTGGACCTGAAAGACATAGTGGTGCTCAAAATTACATAATAAAGTCTTAGCTTTGAGCTTTAGGATAACTAGAGTCATTTCTGTTGAGTGGCACTGAGGCACTGACAAAACCTGCCATAGCATTGAATTGGACTTGAGCATCATATCCCAAGGAGAGCAGACCGGTGTATTTCTTTGCTTCTCCTTTTAACTCGTGATGAGTGTAGAAGCTTTGTCTCTACATGGCTTTTAACCCCACTAGGTCATGTAGGTTTCCTGTGAGTGGGATACAGGGATTCAGGAAGAGCCCAAGGTAATGAGAAAGTGTGTGAAGAGCAGGCTTGGGGGTTTCATACACTGGCCTATTCTGCATGGAGACCTTGGCTCTTCTAAAACAAAGTATTAAGTAGACCAGCTTGAATCCTGAGTTCATGGAGTACTTGGCTGTTTTGGAGTAATTTGCATGTGCCTGTATGTTGGGGTCTGGAAGGGGCATCCTCCTTAGCTTTGTATAGAGTGTTTGCATGGAGCAGTAAAGCAGACCAAAAAAAACCTCAAAGCAGTGGGGACTAACAGTAAAACAAAAACCAAACCAAAACCCACCCAGACTAATAGTACAGTAGAGCAATTTGTACAGAAATAATGTTCTTAAAGAAGCTGTTGATTCTCCACTCCTTGAATAGATATAACCCCCCTCTGAGCAGTTCATACAGTGCAGGAAGCAAATAGATTGAAAATTTCATCTTCCTAAAGCTCACATATTAAATTGTCTGTGAGCACTTGCAACTGGCAAATAATATCTTCTGTATAAATATCATGGCTGTTTTAATTAAAATTGTGGGTAACTTTTCCACCAGATATACAAACTGCCATGTAAAGGTGAGGAAATATTCCGCTCCAGGTGTAAATTCAGCTCTTATCCCAATAAAGCAAGAGCAAAACTGGGTGTATTCTTGACTACTGAGGCATGTGTTTGTGTGGTCCATAACAGAGATAAATTTAGGTATTACGTTCCATTATTTCTTGTGAAGAATCAGAAAAGAGCTAAACGTGCCTGTACAGATACATATCTTATAGGTTTAATCAGTATTTTTTATCTAAGAAGTTTTATACAATCAAAAGGCTATTTTAGTAGTTGCTTTGAGAATAATAAAGCAATAAAAATATAGTATTTCCTTTTTCCTGATTTTGCTTTCATTTCAATTCTTCTAATATTAAAATCGTTTTATCCCAACTGTGTTTTTCATGATGAAAATTAGGAAATAATTGTATGTCCTTTGCCTGGCTTCCTCAGTGACCGTGGAGCAAGCAGCCTGCCCGTCTACGCAGCATTTTTTTTGCCCCTGTTTTGAGTGTGATTCACCCATTATGAACCTTTTTGACAAAACTGGCTGGGAGAGTAAGGCCCAAGGGGAGCTGAGGTGCCCGGGGCGGACGGGCGGGTTGCAGCCGAGGGGCGAGGAAGCCGCTGGCACTTCCACTGCTCCTGGAACAACTTTGCAGCTGCCCTGCGCTGCATAAGAGCTGTATTTTCCAAAAAGAATTTGAAATAGTTATTATTTTAAAAAAAGACGGTGAAAATAATAATATAGTATGTAAGTAGCATATAGAGGCTGGTAATTGCAGGTGTAACAGTGAATCCGTTGAAGTCAGACCTTTAGTGAAATAAAGATTTCAACCAAAGCTTATGTTATTTTTAAGCATTCTCTTCCACAAAATCATATTTTGTGCACTTTAATCATGTGTGTTGACAATTTAACATTTCATTTTATGTAACTTATGCTGCTGTTTCTTAAAACTCTTCTACATTTATCACTTAAAAAAAGAAATCCTTTAAACCTAAAAATGTATGAGATTATATTTAAACCATATGGGATATTTTTCAAAGTGTTCATGACTTCTGCAGGCATAAATGAGGAAACCAGAGTACAGTGAAATATTAATATACAACAGTATATATTTACTAAAACAAGTATGTACCTGATTGAAAATATCTGCCTTCTTGTGACAGCTGTAATTCAAGAGTTCTCTTGTTCAGATAGTAAAAGTAAGTTTGTTATTAGGTAGTTCTTTTCAACCTGAGGTATGGAAAGCTTTACGTGTATGTACTGAATTTTGTGCAATGTGAGTAATTTTACTGATTTAAATAGGATTGCAAAATAAATAAAATTGAATATACCTTGTAAGTTTGTACAACTGGCTGCATTATTTTGTTTGGTTTTAGATATAAAAACAAATCAGTAATAATTACTGCCCCTGCTTATTAGAACTAATAGCTTTATTTTACGTTAGCTGTGGTGGATATGTCACTGTGTAGACTAGCACTGATTATTTTAAATGATCTCTTGGTAATGGCACTGAGCTGAAAAGTAACAGTAGCTGACTTATTATTCTTTAGACTTTAAAATAAACTTCTGAAGTAAACTATTTTAATTCAGTTACAATGGAAACTTGAACAGCTGTAAAACGCTTAGCAGTGTATACTGTTTTTTTTCAGTTTTCGTGTGTGACCTGTTTCTTTTATTTCCTTTCTCCTACCAAAATGCTAGACATACACAAGCACTAGCAACAACTCCATGTCAGGCTCCTTGAAGCGATTGGAAGATACCACAGCTCGATTCACAAATGCAAATTTCCAGGAAGTTTCTGCACACGTTTCAAGTGGAAAAGATTCCTCAGAGGCGAGAGGGTCAGAGAGCAAAGGGAAGAAATCTGCAGGTCACAGCTCGGGTCAGAGGGGAAGAAAGCCTGGTCCTGGAAGGAATCCGGGAACAACCGTGTCTGCAGCTAGCCCTTTCCAGCAAGGTATCAGTTGTTATGCAGTGATTCTGCTACTGCTTTGATGTGAATTAGACAGAAACCCCATATATTTAAAACTTGGAAAGCTTTAAATTATATTTCATGCTTTAAAGAAAGTTTATTTGTTGTCATTATATAAACAAAGAGCTCTGCATCTGCAAAGGGCAAAATCGATGCTTTTGTTTAGGGTATTCTCTTTGAATGCTGAGAAAAAAAAAGTTCCTGTTATGAAAAATTGCTCTAGATTAAAAATTCAGTATAGGAAATTTGAGGCTGCAGAGCTTTCTTAGCCCTTTAAAGGTCTAATATTAATTGCTTAAAAATTAGTATATGTTAGAACAAAGTTGGTTTAGCAACTATGTAAGTCTTAAAATGCATGCAAACACCCTCAAACATTTTTTGAAGTTGCTAAGATACTAAGTATAGTATGTTCTTGAATCTTATCTATTTTTAATTTTGTCACTGAAATGTGTAAGCTGAAGATGGTTACCTGACATTCAGTTTATTTACCTTATCAGGTGTGAGAAGCTTGAGGTTTTTGAACATACTTAAATCCACTGCTGACACTTTTCAAAAACAAATTATGTTGAGAATCCTTTGTCAGGATTTGATCCAATATAAAAATGAAAAGGTCTATGTCTTAATACTAAAAACAACTACTAAAATATTTAATTTTGAAATACAGATCAACAAATCAGATTCTATAGAAAGGAATATGTTATCTACTTACCGCAGTGAAAACTATTAAAGTGTAATAGTTGGCTGTCCTTTCTGTTTTGTGGTGATTTTTTTTCTCTTTAAGTTCTAATTACCTTGCCATTATGCACTGGGAAACTTTAAGCTTGTCTACATTTTTTGTTGTTGTTGTTACATTTGAAATACTGAAGTAATTTTAGTTTGCTTATGTTTTCAAATAAAACTTTGAAAATTGTCTTCTGGATTCTGGCATTTAAAGAAGAATCTTGCCTAATGAAGATTTCGATATAGATCTTTATTATGCCAGACTTTTTTTAAAGCTGCACTGATTTAAATTAATATAGTTAATTTAAAACACAAAACAAATGTTTTTGTCCTAATGCAAATTATACATATTTTTAATGAGATTATTAATAATGGTTAATGAAGCACTAATGATAAAATATTATTTTTTTAAAGGACTATTTTTAATGGTTCAGAAAACAAGCTATTTTTTAAATCCTAACTAATTATTTATGCTATCATGTTTAGGATTACTTTCTTAAAGGGATTGTAATTGCCAGTAGATAATGCAGGCTTTACTGAGCTGCTGCTGCCACCCATAGAAAACCACTGAATTTCAGGGGAAGGATTGGTGTCTGCACTATGTACAGTATCGGTGCCTGCCTCCTGAGTAGGCCGCCCTTTCCGTCTTGTGTATGCTAACAACGTGCTGAAGTGACCTCATTCCAAATATTACAGAAGCAATATAATTCTGTTGCAAAAAGAACACAAAAGAACTTCATAGGTCTGTGGTGGTGTAAAGAAGCCTTGAAGTGCCACTTTCATTCATTTTACCACCTCTCCTGTTCTTCTGAGAAATGCCTCTTGTGAGGCAACCAGGGGAAGTTCAGTGCAATTGCTGCTCCCTTGACCCACGCCGGGCCTTGGGCTTAGGCAGAACATCAAGGAAGGCTGCGGACTCACTGGAAACGTGATCCCAGCACATGCGTGCCAGGTTTAGGCTTTTCAAATAAAATGGTCTATTCTAAAGAAACTTCTGTGACTTACAGTGTTTGTTACAACTTCAGAACTGGGGGGAATATCAAAGGTGTTGAAAAGGCCGAGTTACTCTTCTCCTTTTAGACGTTTTTAACTTTTGCCGTAAACATAGTGAATCTGAGAATTGGGTCTGGCAGAGGGAAGATCAGCAAACTAACATTTAAAAAAAAAAAAAAAAGGCAATGAGCTACTGTACTTTTTGGTAACACTTTTTGTAAAGCTGCATTTAAATTTGTTTTCTAAGATTTTAATCTTTATCATCAGTCATTTTATACTTTTATTTTTTTTCTTCTTTCTCTAGGTAGTTTTTTGAGCACTCCTGGGAGCATAAAGTCATCTTCTGGAAGTTTAGTTCAGTCTCCCCAGGATTTTTTGAGTTTTACGGAAACAGATCTGCGAAGTGACAGTTACAGTCATTCTCAACAGACTTCATCAACCAAAGATGTACATAAAGGAGAGACTGGGAGTCAAGAAGGGGGTGTCAATTGTTTCAGTTCCTTAATCGGTCTCCCTTCAGCTGTTTCACAATCTAAAAACTTTGACAACTCACCTGGAGACTTAGGTAACTCAAGCCTTACTTCTACAGCATACAAACGAGCTCAAACTTCTGGAATAGAAGAAGAAACTGTAACAGAGAAGAAGAGGAAAGGAAATAAGCAGAATAAGCATGGGCCTGGTAGACCCAAAGGAAATAAAAGTCAAGAAAGTATTTCCCATCTTTCAGTTTCTTCCGCTTCCCCAACTTCATCTGTGGCATCTGCTGCAGGAAGTGTGACAAGCTCTGGACTTCAGAAATCTCCAACTTTGCTCAGGAATGGAAGTTTACAAAGTCTAAGTGTTGGCTCATCTCCAGTGGGTTCAGGTAGGCCTTTATTAGATTTGTTTTCTTATCTCCAAAGATGTGTTTGTAATTTTAGCCTCAATTGTGAATAAGCTTTTCAGGAACAGAGTATTATTTTAAGTATCTCAAAAGTGGTCTCAGAGAAAAGTCAAAAGCAGAATATGAGCGTTAAAAGTTTTATTGCGTAGAATAAGATTATTGTAAGAGTATGTTCAGTTCCATATATAGCTGCAGTTAGTCTGTAGCTGGATGTAGTAGACGGATGAGTCTATGTTCATTGTAAATGCAGCTTTTTGAGGCTGCAGGGAAAAAGATACCTGCTGTAAAACCAGTGTTGTTTGGAAAGGGTTTAGCTAAAATAAGTAGTAGTATATGAGGCTGTAGAGTCTTTATGTTTGGTTACCTGTAGAGAACAAAATTGGTATTCAAGCATGTCAACTGCGGAAATTACTGAATATTGTCTCCCAATTATTTTTTTAGACCTCAGTTAATTAAAAATCCATATAGAGAAATTATCAGTCAAAACATGTGATGGGATAATTTGAATTTGGCCCCCTCTGCAGCTGGGTGATGATTTCATGTTCTTGTGTGCTTTTTGCAGTTGAAATTGGCTGGTTTGTTCTTCCTCTGTTCTAAATGTGTTTGCAATTTGGGCTGTTGAGAGGCTTTCTGTTCTGCGGAATGGCCATTCAGAATGCTGTCCAAAGCTGCAACATTTTCTTCAAGGGCTTTTTGTGTTTGGTTTTAAAAATACTATGCACACTATTTAATAACCATTTTGCATAAATTTGGGATTTTGTTTTTGTTGTTCTGGTGGATTTTTTTTTTTTGAGGAAGAAGGAGAAATGGAGCTTGAATTTTAGTTGTGGGCAGGATTTTATGCTTTTGTATTCCATATTTGCACTGTATTCCAGGTTTTTAGCAATGCATGCTTTAGGGAATAATAAATATTTCCAAAACGGAAACTCTGTATTTCTTTCAGAACAAGGCTTGTTCTTAAAAAGTGTACCTGATCTCAGAAGCGTGTTACTTAACAAAGATACATAGTAGAGGTAAATCTCTGATTTTAAAGGGAAATAATGATAGAAACAGTGGAAGTTAGATTCAAAAGACTTCTTTTCCTAGGAATCGATAAGGAGAAATAGTTTCAGAAAATGGACAGGAAACTGGGACTTTTAAAGTCAATTAAAAAAAATTAATTTAAAAACGTTTCCTTGATTTTCTTATCCAGCATGATACCCTTCAGCAGCTTTAGATCAGGATTCCAAATCTTTTGGTGTAAACTTTCTCATCCCAATATGATCCCTTTGTGATGGGCAATGTTTTGTCATAGTTGTGGTAACAGATGGAAATACAGGACCTTTGTTTGAAGTAAATGACCCGTGGTTCCTCCTTTCTGTTTGGTTTGAACTTTCTGATCTTGTCAGCACTGAGACCAGAGCCCTTCCTAGCCAGTTCCACCCTGTTCCCTTCCTCCTCCTTACAGATCTCACTCTTCCATCTATAAAATGCGGGTGATGTTGATCATCTTTGTAAAAAGCTTTGAAATACATGGATGGAAATACCATGTAAGACTTGTTGTTTTGCTTTTTCATTTCTTTTATCATAATATTCACCTTACATCTTCAGCTGTCCGTTTAGAAGTTATTTGGAAATCTAGAGTTTGATCTGTCCTATAAAACAATGATTTACTCCAAAGATTGTGAAAAGTTAATTAAATAATGTACAGATTGGAAGTTGCTGCCTTTAAGTATGGTATCTAAAATCAATTGCAAACTTCTGTTCGAGCCTAGGCATTTTGTTTTAAAGTAGTTTTCTCCCCATTTATCCTTTCTTATTATGATGGTAGTGCTTTTTTCCTCACTTCGTCATAAGCATGTTTTGGGTATAAGTCAGTTTACTATTGTGGACACTTGATGTTACTTGAATGAGTCAAAGTTTATGAATATTATCAAGATATTGGAAGCATCTAAGCATTGGGAACATATAAGTGGATATCAAGTTCGTATGTAGATTTTGCTCTGAAACTGTTAAACTTTTGTGCATGTAAATGTAGTAAGAGAAAATACATGGAAAATCAAAGCATATTTTTTTACTGACCGAATTTGGAGTTACCTCATTATTTTAGTGAAACAGGATCAGGAATGAGTTAGTACTAATTAAAACTTTTGAGGCACCTTTTCAAGACTTGATTGGTCTTTGAGAATCAGCTTCTCAATTGTTTATTAATCCCTCCTGAATTGTAATCATCTTGAAGAAACTGACCCATACCCTTAAAAATCCATTCACTGAATGAGCCTGTTTACTTTGCAGTTGTGTGGTGTTCTGGTTCCTGCTTGGTGTTCACATGTGAGATGTTGTATGATGATACAGCTTCATCATGTGAAATTTATACACATAAAACTTACATTTAGAGTAAGTACATCCTGCTGTCTTTGTAGAAGGATTTCTCCCCTCTAGATGCTTTCTCTGTTCCATAGAATTTCTGTTCTGCTTCGTACGGTCGGAGATGCACCATGAGTAGTAGTAGTGTACCCAAGGGAGTGAAAAAGTGGTTTAAATAGTTGGTAGAGTGAAAAGGAATTTTTATATTAATGTTTTATAGAACCTCTCTTCCTGTAACAATGGAGCTACTTTAGTCAATAAGAGTTTATTGACAACCTGTACCCTCTACCACACCTAGAAAAGGTTGAATGGGTTTTAAATGGTCAGGAAGTAATAGTCCATACTTTCCAAATCCCTCCTCTGCCCCTTGCCTGGAATCCCTCCTGCAAGTCATGACTGTAGCAGCATCGCATTTGGTTAGCCACATCTCATTTCTGCACCATACTACCTGATCAGTGCTCGTGTCTATCAATATATATTGATATATCAACCAGGAGCTCTCTGAGCTGCTACTAGAGCAGCTGCTTGAAGTGGTGCTCCTGGAGACTTTGCATCCTTCAGAGCTCCTGTCAAATCTTTGCTTATGGTGTTTTGTTTAGGCCCCTGTGGCCTTTGATTTACTTGCAAACTAAATCTAGCGGGAGAAGGAATTTAGTCAGATATATTCTGAAACAGTTTGGGCCGTTATGTTTATCTCCTTGGTGCCTCAGAAGCAGAAGTAGGCCAAGAAGTCTTGCTGTGTTTAAAGAGCCAGTTTGTGCTCCGAGAGAGGGAACGGAAAAGAGAAATTTATACTTGTAGCAATAAATGAGCTTTTAGGACAAAGCACACTCTGTAGGAAACACACAAGGCAAAAGTCTAGTCCGGGAGAATGTTTCCATGCTTTCAAGCCCCGCGGAAATGGTGCTGGTCCATTACTAGATAAAAATGATTTGATCCTGTGGAAGACATGGGAGTATATATTAAATATTTGGGGAGAAATTAAATGGAGTAGTAGAAGCTTATGAAGACAGGGATTATCATGAAATAGGTTCCTCCTGAACCCCAAATGTTAACTAAAACAGGTGTTATCGGCAATGGCAGCTAGAAATAGTAAATTGACATTTCCTGATAATGAGTATCTTACATTCACACGCTTTCAAATTGTCACATGTTAATGTCAGTGGGTCTTTAAAACTAGAGAGGTTTTAGGGGACTAGCAGAAAGCTGACGTTAGGGAACTGGGATGTATCTGATGCAAGAAAGATAGATATTAAGGGATGTAAAGATGTAATTATTAATGATGGTTAGTTTGGCTTGTAGAAACTAAGTTTTATTAGTGTGGGTTTTTTTACAATCTCTTTTTAATATTTATAAGGATAATGGTACAGTGGACATCTACAAATAATGTAAGTTGATAGAACATGACATTTTAATGACAGAAAAGCAACAAGTCTTTACATTGAATGTACTAAACTGGTAAGTCTCAAAATTCAGTTTTAATCACAGAATTATTGAATCAGATGTGGTGCTTTTGGGGTTGTGTGGCCCTTGAGCATTAGTTGTCACCTTTATGGCATTTCCTGGAAAATTCTGTGATTTTTGCAAATTTCTGGGTATGAGGATGAAATAAAATAGATGTCTTGGTACATGATACAAACTAATGGTATTTCTTTTATTATAGCTAACTGAAAAGACTATACCTGAGAAAGAGTAATTCATACATGCAGGCTAGGGAGGCTCTTTGGAGGGGAAGGAAGGACTGTGAAGGGTGATGATGAATAATCAGTTATGTCTGAGCTTTCAGTGCAGAGCTGGGACTTTAAAAGCTTTGAATATATGAAGAGCAAACTCATAAACATATGGGGAAGGAGGCTCTGAATGGGCCTGCTCTTCCAGTGTTGTGTCTAGTTCTGCTATCTGCTCAACATAAAGGATCTTGATGAACTGTAGAGGATTCAGAGAAGAGCCATGAGAAGGATTAAAGAACTGGAAAAACTCTGTTATTGTAGAAAGATTAAGGACTGAGTTTGTCTGAATGTGCCTATCAGATAGGGAACTGAAAATTAAATTCTGTACTGATACTTAACCTCACAAAAGGTTATAACATGATCAAAGTATAGCTTCCAATAATGGCTCTGAATGTTTAAATGTAGTACTTTTTTTGAAAGCTGTGCTTTAGTCACATGCTTTTATTGGATTCAAAGGCGAGATATTATTCAGCGAAACTCTACAACTGAGTTTCACATCATGATCACAAATTCTTTTTTGCCTCTATAATTCATGAATCTAATACAGTTCTGTGCTTCCCTTCGATTAAAGACACAAAGAATAGCATTTGGCCTCTGTGTGGCCTGTAACTGTCACTGGACAAATAATGCATCTCAACAGATAGAGGCGAGTAGGAGATTGTCATGCAATGTGAGTCTGCAAAGATTATTTCTCAGCCTGGTATGTTCTGTGCTTTTCTCAAAGATTTGGAAGAAAGGAAGACTTTCCTTGCTTGCTGTGAGGGTTCTCTGTGGCTTGCTTTAAAAAAATACTTTGCAAGAAATGTACTTGGATGTAACGAGTAGTAATTCCTTGACTAATAAACAATTTTATTCCAACAACGCTGAGCAAAGCACTTAGAGGTGTGTTTTGAAAACAACATCTAT